AATCCACTCGCAGACAGTACTCACGACGTCGCACACTCACATAACGTAACGTGCGATTTCCTAGACACACACATACACAAACTAATGTCAAAGTGACAGTACTGTATTACAAAATATTGAGTCCGAAATATGTATGGGTACTGATCAAAATTCATAAAAATTTGAAACCCAATTTCTTTTCAATTATCATTTCTATTATTTTTTCTAACCTTAATAAAATTGTTAAATTTCTTTATTAAATTCGAAGTCTGAGCTGAGTGTTACATGTATTGCACTCTATGGTTTAAAAATGATCAAAAAAGTTATCTTCTAATATTGTTACTAAAGGAAAGTGGATGTTTTGTGGATTCTTTTAATGTGCCTAGTATTTATGCGCTGCGAGTTTATAATTTTCATCTCATTTCATGCAACAAGCGCCATGGAATGTAATTTGTGACATGGTATTTGATATAAGCTTATGTAAAATTTTCTAAAGGCAGACGGCAATCATTAAAGCGATATGAAATCATCTTCTTCACAATACATCAAAATAAAGAAAGTATATTATGGATGATAGCATTTGCGTAGCAATAACCTTTGGCAAGAAAGTTCTAAAATACGGAAGTGCCAAAAACACAACTATTAGAGATTCTTCACTTTACACAATTATTTAATATCAATATTCTATTTTTTTACCTTCAGTTCCGAGTTTACTTAGTGGTCTAATTAGGAAACCCTCTCTAAATTCTCAACCAATCCAAATTCTTACTTCCCAAAAATGTCGTGTATGTTGAATTAGAATTTGACAAGTTGGAATCATCGATGTCTGATCTTATATTTCTAATTTCGAAATTTCTTGCTACTTTTTAATGTAGGAAGCCTTATCACATTTTAAGACAGTCCTTCATACCATTTACATTCTCAATGTAATAAGCAACTGCCAAAAGTGACTACTCGTGAACATACCTCACGTGCAAGAATATGTTTCAGCGAGCAAAAAGGCCACGAACAGTCCCTAAAGTCAACTGTGTGCTTAGTGCGAGTTTTTTAACGTTCTCGATAGCGTAAAATGTAACACAAATTTGTATGAAATTTTAACACCGCCCTTAGCAGCAAACGCAGGCAAACGTTCCATACAAATCTGAGTTAACTTTTACGCTATCGAGAACGTTAAAAAACACGCACTAAGCACATTGGTGTTAAGTGGTTTTCAGAGCCCATAGACATCACGACCACGGTGCCCTTGCGGTAGGCAGCGGCTTGGCTCTGCCCTTGGCATTGCTGAAGTCCATGGGCGACGGTAAGCATTCACCATCAGATGCTCGCCTGCCTACAAAGGCAATAAAAAAAAAAAAAAAAAACGTAAATGCTTCCTTATGACACGAGGCCAGTCCTTACTGAGCCATAATAATTATTTAATGTCTGCCCCTAAAGTTACTTAAGAATAGTTTCCACTTGCACATTTTTGAACTGAAAAATAATTTAAGCGCTAATATTACCGTTGAGCCGCTTGGTAAGATGAGAGGGCTCCAGTAACAACTTAATACCATGGTGCGCCGTGAGCCTGTTCACAATGGTGTGCCATTCATGCATTCAAAATAATAGAGTTTGATTATATTAAGTTATATTGAGTATATTAAGAGATAGTATATTATATTAAGGGTATATTAAGAAATAATCCTGGTCAAATCGTATCATACCTGTGTCCTCATTCTATACGGCAGATAATAACCGTATACTTGATTTCGCGTTTTTGAAATGATAAATACAGCGACGGGCGATGTTTAAGTAATGGAAAAAATCGCAATCGGGGTAAAATTACAATTGAGCCCACGTTTATCTCGCTCCGTTTGATTCTAAGTTTGATCGGTATGAAAATCGGCAAAAGTTCAAAATCAATTACAACAGAAAAACAAAATTCAAAAGAAATTCATATTATTAAGAGTTTTTCCTAAACTTGAATGACATCTCAATACATTTGCTGTATGTTAGCAAATAGCACCACTTAGCAAAAAGTACCACAGCTGTAGGTTCACCAATCAAAAGCGCATTATGTAATTGTACCCTTTCTTATAGCAATGACAATAGGTAGGATATGTCTGTCGTGTGTCGACAAGTTTACAGTTCATGTAAATAAAAAACAAAACACGTAAAATAAGTAGGTTTTATTAGAAAATGAAAACAAAATTTCTTACATTCTCTAAATAAGGCACGACGTGTCCAAACGAACCGTAAAACCCGCCAGGCCGGACCGGCTTTCACAAAACACAGCGAGAAAACAGCTCACAGTCATAATTATCAATAGGAAAAAAAAACATGTCCAGAATCGTTTGCCACATCTTCATGTCAAACCTGACATTAAAAAATGTCAAAGTAACGTTAGGCATCCTAGAGTACCTAGTTGAATTAACAACGCTGTTACAATGTTTTCCAAATCGATCTAATCAAAATTAAATACGATTTTAAATTTTGATAACAGAATAAATACGTATGAAAATAACTATACATTACAAGTTCATGTTTACAAAAATATACAATTACAAACTAACGAACAGGCAAACGAGTAGCTATATTATAATGCCAGACTTAACTACTCTGAATACTGGTAATTTGGCCGGAAAACATCGATGCACGTGTGATACTTAAGCAAACATTCAATTAACTATAGATTTAAACGCGAATATTTGACCTAAAACTCTTGACCCTCATACATTGTACGGATTCTTTTTCGGAGTTTCGACTTTAATATAGTTTTAATTTAAAACTTAAAATCCTTGATAGATATCAGACATTATGTATCCATTATTGTGAAATACTTCTTCAATTTTAACGATTCAATATTGCTATATAATATTTCAGTAATATATTTCCTTTATACTATTATATTACAAATTTCGGTATTCAGCATAATGAATTTCAGTTTCAAGATCGATACTATTATATCGTTACAGTTATATGACTTTGTTGGCAACGATACATACTATGGAATAAATTTGTGTGAATAAAATCCAATTAATTATTGCTCGGGCTCGGATTTTATAATTGAGTAGTTCAAAGTTCACAGTTTGTTGTCAAAGAAATTCGCTATGTATGACCTCCGCAGCCAAACGTCAATTCTTGAAAATACATAAACATAAAAAGTTCAAATGACACATATAAAACGCTATTTATAGATATGATAAACTGATATGAAAAGCAACCACACCGACATTTACATAATGTACAAACATTTATATATCTATACAAACTGTTGTGTGTTTAATGTGACATTAGGTAAATTTTAAATTTGATATAATCCAAATAAATACTATGGAGGCGATTAAAAATATACTGTACGTAAAAATAATAACGTGCCATAATATGTACACGTGTATATTACAAAGACGTGAAAATGTTCGTTTTTAAATACAAAAATTACCTCTAAAGCATTATTTAGTAGATTACGTATTACAATATTTATTTAATCAAAATGCGAAAAATATTTATTATATTTCTTATCTTTAATAAATTATTAAGCCAAACGTTTACGTTATATTAACATCTAAATTTGTAAACAGCGTAGGAATATATTATCTTAATTTGTATGTCTTTGTACCAACGCATGATTAAAATATAGTTTTATATCAAAATGTTTTGAGCTTTCATAACGCGAGTGACGACGAAAAGAGCACACAGAGGCTGAAATGATGAGGCTTTTCTATCAGAAAAGTCGTTTTCTAAGCCTCTCCGATAAGACATAACAAAATTTTCTCAAGTAAAACTTTGAATGCCGGTTGAATTATTAATTTTATTTATTACAAGTGAAACCAGGCGACGATCCGCTAAAATTGGTTAAAATGTTAAAACTCGCGCGCCACCTGTCCTACGTTCATGGTACTATGACAAAAACCTACAAGTACCAAACAGTTTTTCGGTATCAAATGAGAATCGGATAATTCGTATATTACAATCAAACAAACATGCAAACATTCATTTTTATTGTATTCATAATAAAGTTTAAATAAGAATCAATGTTCGATAAAGCATAGTTCGGTAGCATTCGAACACTGAAAGATACTGAAAACTAAAAAAAATAGGATGTGAAAATGTTTTTTTATCAAATGTACATGGCATGAAAATTGGTCAAACATTACAAACTCGATACTAATTCTATACAAATATGACACAGATAAACTTGTGAGAACTTGCAAAGTGAAAAATTTCACTTTTTATTATTTTTACATAGGTACAAATTAAAAAAAGTCTCCTTTTTCCATTTTTAGTAAATTTTAAACTACCCCTATCATTCATTACAATCACTGTTTTTATCGCTTTATGTAAAAAAAAAACTACAGTTCGCGTACATTCAATAAGGAATTGTTTGAAAGAATCATAAAGAAATTAACAGTTTTTTTAAAGTGAAAAAGTTCAAGAAGAATTTAAGAAAAATGTTGCTACTTTTACTAAGCTGATTTATTTTTAAATTAAATTGTTAATAAAATCACTGGATTAATAAAATTTTGACGAATAACTAATAAGGTGTTTAGTTTAATTAGTTCAGATTCATAATAACAATGAAAGCTCCGAAAGTAATTAAGGCCGTTTTCCAATTACAGCCATTTTTAACCATTACTTAATGGTAGTTTTCCAATTACAGAGCATAATGCGACTCAGTGACGCACAATGCCGGATTATGCTGAAGCTTAGTTGAGCATTATGCCGCATAATGCGCTCTTGTGCTGTAATTGGAAAACGGCCTAAACCTGCAGTCTTAGTTTCGCGGCAAGACCGCCAGATGTCGCCCTTAATACAACAAAAGCATAAAACGAACGTACGCGAACTAAAACTTAACGTTTCATCATCACACTTAGACAAATATCATTAGACGATTTACATACATACATACATCATTAACATTTTTATTATTCACAATAAACAAAGTGAGGAAGAAATTTAAGGGTTCAGTCGCGTTGATTTAATACAAATAATTTAATTATACTCTGAAACTTAGTTAGTTAGAAAGTTATGTAGGTAATAAAACATCTATGTACCCTCTTTTTTACTGAATCAGGGATCGAGATGTTTTATTAACTACATAAGTCTAGTGAGGACTGGGCTAGTCTCGTGTCCTGGCCAACATATTGGCACAGCAGGACAAATGTCAGTAATGATCTACGTCCCCGGCCGGCGCCACGGAGTACGCTGATGGGGGCCTGTCCACACAAACGGCTTCGTCACTCAACTGTACATATATATTTATTGCCAGTGAACAGCAAACCCACTGAGTTTTCGCCGGATCTTCTCAGTGGGTCACGTTTCCGATCCGGCGGTAGCTTCTACGAAGCACGCTCTTGCTAGGGCCAGTGTTAGCAACACTTCCGGTTTGAGCCCCAAGAGCTCACCTACACGCTAGGGTAAAGCTGATACAGCCTCTCAAGACTATCAGAATAGGTAGGGAACGTTTCGGTTTGAAGGGCGGGGCAGCCGTTGTAACTACTCCTTAGAACGCATATCTCAAAGTGGGTGGCGGCATTACGCTGTAGTTTTCCATGGTCTCTGATAACCATTTAACGCCAGGTGGGCTGTGACCTCATCCACCCAACTATGCAAAAAAACGCCCTCGGGTTGCCACTTAGTCGTTTTTGAAAGTGGAGAAGGTATATTCATATATATTATATGTATTCATATATTTTTACTGGTGGTAGGACCTCTTGTGAGTCCACACGGGTAGGTACCCCCACCCTGCCTATTTCTGCCGTGAAGCAGTAATGCGTTTCGGTATGAAGGGTGGGGCAGCCGTTGTAACTATACTTGAGACCTTAGAACTTATATCTCAAGGTGGGTGGCGTATTAACATTGTAGATGTTTATGGGTTCCAGTAACCGCTTAACACTAGGTGGGCTGTGAGTTCGTCCGCCCATCTAAGCAATTAAAAAAAAGTGTATATTTACCGCAGTCCCCGTCGCGGGGCCGGCAGCCGCGAGGGCCGCGGGAGCGCCGACACGCGCGCCTCCGCCCCCGACGCCGGCCGCGGCTGCTCCACTACCGGAGCCGCTGGAAGAGTCAAGCCAGACACATGGTCTTACATCATTAATTCAGCTACTATCAGAAGATACGTTATAGGCTACTACTGCTTCCATNAAAAAAAAGTGTATATTTACCGCAGTCCCCGTCGCGGGGCCGGCAGCCGCGAGGGCCGCGGGAGCGCCGACACGCGCGCCTCCGCCCCCGACGCCGGCCGCGGCTGCTCCACTACCGGAGCCGCTGGAAGAGTCAAGCCAGACACATGGTCTTACATCATTAATTCAGCTACTATCAGAAGATACGTTATAGGCTACTATTGCTTCCATTAATCCGTCTTTAATAGTGGTTAAATCAGAAACCGTCTAATATAACTGATTAAGTAACTAACATACAGACATCTATATTTTAATACGGGAAGCAAAAACTTTGTACCCCTTTTTACGAAAATTGCGCGGACGGAGGAGTACGAAATTTCGCACACCTATAGAGAATATAGAGGAGGGCTGCAGAATGCTAATTTTTTTTTTTTTTAATTATACATAAAAAATACTTTATGTCAATTAAAAAAAAATTGCACACACATTACCATATATTTTATTCACCTACTAGTTAAGGTTACGCTGAAATAGGCTCTCAAGGTTATCGGCTTAGGTAGGAAAAAAAAGCATGCCTACTATTTGAAAAAATATTAACATTCTGCACTCCATTTCTATATTCTCTATAAATGTGGAAAATTTCATGCTCCTGCATCCGCGCAATTTTCGTAAAAAGGGGCTACAAAGTTTTTGCTTCACGTATTAATATATAGATAAAATATATATATGCATTAATTACCGGGTACGTGTTTGTGCGTCGGAGGTCCGGACGCCGGCCTCGACACCCGGAACTGCGACGCGCCCGCCGTCGAATATGGCCTTGTGGTTGGTGGCTGTAATTATTTAAATAATTTATTTATTTATTTCCGTTTCTGTATAACGTATTACGCAGAAATCAATATAAAAAGTTTTTATTTATTTAAATAGTTTTGATAAATAATAAGACAAAGGAATCGAACTTGATACAACCAAACATTGGTCCAATTTAATGGGTCATAACGGCGGTCCAACCTTGAAAATTTGGTCCGCGCTGAATGAAACATGAGACAGTAAATGATAGAGTTTTAACATGACAAATATGATTGTCAATGAAGACAATTCAATGCGTCCTTTAAAATATGTTATTATGATATAAATGATTATCACAATGGCAGGCAATGTAAATCAAACAAGTTTTTTTTAATTATTAACAAATCGTTATACACTGACTGAACCAATTATGTTAGCACCGAAGTCGTATGATTTTAAGCTTATTATTGGTACCACCACTGCCTATTTCTGTCGCGAAATAGTCACGCGTTCCGGATTTAACAGTGGGAGAGTAATTATAGTACAGAATTGGCGGCTTTTGACATGATGATGCCTATAGGTCCCAATAACAAAAATATAGCAATGTTCATTTTCCTTTAAAACAAACAAATATGCTAATAACTACTTAATTATCAAATCGTAAACTTCGTGAACAAGATCGGTACATAAAACATAAAATTTCAAGATGTCACTGTTTGCACGGTCATCAATATTATATATCTATAAAAAATTCTAAAAAAAACGAGCTCTAAACTTTTCTAGATCTGTGTGCTTAGTGCGAGTTTTTTAACGTTCTCGATAGCGTAAAAGTTAACCCAATTTTGTATGCAGTTGGAACAGCGCCCCTGACGGCAAAGGAAGGCAAACTATCCCATTCCATACAAATACGAGCCAACTTTTACGCTATCGAGAACGTTAAAAACTCGCACTAAGCACACTGAACTGATTCATCGAACACGTAAATTTACATAGCCCTACAAACATATAGACAGTACAGTGATTGCAATTAATTTTCTAAAGACTTCGTGGTACGAAATGGAAATAAAGCGATCCGTCCACCAATGAGAACGACAAACACTCACAGGCATATGGCTCCTCATAGAGACGGGAACGGCGCTGCCCGGCCCCGACCGGAGCTGCATCCGCACACACGCATCGAGTTAATATTGTTAACGACATTTCTTATGTTGACGTTGGTACATTAGCTTCGAATTTCAATTTTACATATCGACGCTTGAAAAGCAAACGTGAATAAGCGACAATAACTGCTTTGTACATAAATGATAGGCAATAACCATATTCGATGCGCAAAAAAAATATATTTCTAGGTCTATTAAATTCATTTCAATCCTACAGCTAGATTCGTTAAAATATAATTTTTTTCAGGTAATTCAACTTTAAATTAGTCTACTGTAAAGTTCACGCATTGTCGCTTAGTCACGTTTGCCTTTCAAGCGTCGATATGCATCCTTCTTTGTAAATTAACTTTTTTTTTTCTCCTAACTATGTTGATAGCCTTGAGAGGCTGTTTCAGCTTCGATATAACATGTAGGTGAGCTCACGGGGCTCAAACCGGAGTGTTGCTAACACTGACACTAACAAGAGCCGTGCTTCGCAGAATCTACCACCGGATCGAAAACGCGACCCACTGAGAAGATTTGGCGAGAAACTCAGTGGGCTGTGTCTACGGGTTAAGTAGTCTAACAATATTTAATTTTTTATATAAGGAAAATCAAAATATAATCTCATCATAATATAATCTGTAATTTCATAGACTCTTTGGCGGGAACGCGAGGAGCGTTTAAATGTGTAATAATTGTGGTTTATTAATGGTTTCGCATATTTTAAATGCGGGAAAATGAAACAAATTCGCAATCTGAAGCAATCTCAGTAAATAACCAGCATTTTACTGAAACTATATCATGGCGTTTCATTTAATTTCATTCCAATTGATTAAAGTCAAATATTGATCATATTTCATGTTATAACCACAATTTAAGAAGAAAATAGAAGACTTGGCTTAAAGAACTCATTAAAGAACTCAAGGCCATAAAAAAGTATATAGCCTTATTATCTCAATTTTTAAATGTCAAAAACAGTGATGTTGTAGCGATTATTTTATTATTCAATTAGTAATGCATGGTTGTTCCGCGGCAGACGTGAGTATAACTGTGGTACCGACCCGTAGTCACAACACTACGGTATCTACTTATTTTTATTAAGACTTTAGCGAATTTGTTTTCAATGTTTCTGTGCAACGATTCTTGTTAGAAAAAGAAAGGAATATGACTTTGTCTCTCTCGCAAGAACCTTCAAATCTATCAGAGAGAGGATTTCAGATAACGCAAAGACTATTATGACTAGTTTCAAAATCAAATCAGCATTATATATTTTTTCAGCAATGTACCAACGAGAACAATTAGTTATAGACAAATAAGCAAATGAAGATAAATGTTTAAAACAAACAAAAAACATTGAATATACCACCACCCCAACAGTAAAAGCAAAATTTAAATATTATTATTATGATGTTCTATGGCGTTAAATAAATACGCAATTACTATTATATATGAATTAAATTTTAAGTATTTGACATTTGTAAAGTTAACCTTTTTTAAATATAATAATATCCAAAAATGAGAATGATTTTTATTAAGTCCACATTTTCAGTCTGTATTAAATGTTATAAGGCAACACATGGCTCTGTGTTCTTTTTAACGTTCTCGATAACGTAAAAGTTAACAACAGCGCCCCTACCGGCAAACGTAAGCAAACGTCCGTTTCTTTTGTTGCCCTTGTAGGCAGACGAGCATACGGCCCACCTGATGGTGAGTGGTTACCGTCGCCCATGAACTTCAGCAATGCCAGGGGCAGAGCCAAGCCGCTGTCTACCGCATACCGCATCCAACTTCATACGAAGTTGAGTTAACTTTTACGATATCGAGAACGTTAAAAAACTCGCAATAAGCGCACAGGTGACTCACGTCTCTGGGTGCCACCAGTTGGCTCTGAGGTCGGTCCCTGCGCAACGTCTCCGTGCCCTGTCTGACCAGGGCGGGCGGAGTCGTCAACACAGGTCTCGGTCTGTCTTCTGTCTTCTGAAATAATTATATTTTAATGTATAAAATTATCTAAAAAACGTCCTGGCCTAAAGGATAAAGCGTCCGGTGCATTTGCGGGTACAATTTTTTTAAATGAAGTACGTACTTAACAAATGTTCACGATTGACTACCACGGTGAAGGAATAACAGCGTTTAATGAAAATCAAACCCGCAAAACTATAATTTGCGTAATTACTGATGGGAGGACCTCTTGTGAGTCCGCATGGGTAGGTTCCACCACCCTGTCTCGTCGCTCGTCGTCAGCTCATCGACCCTGTATTGACTGTACTAATAATGGACTTTTTGGTGGGAACGCGAGGAACAAAGTTTTGTGATTTGTTTTATTTTGTCTAATTAGTGTTTCTTCAGGTTTAAATGTGTAATAACGGTGGTTTATTAACTGTTTAGTTTACTGTGAAAGTGCACAAATGTGGGAAAATGAAACAAAGCCGCTGAGCATAACTTTTCAGGATCCTCCAAAAAGTCCGCTGAAAAATTTTCAATAAATGTCCACCATTTTACTGAGATTATATTTCATCCCATATCATCTCATCTCATTTCCCTTCGTTTTCATTTCATTTCATAATATCATTTCTCACATAAAAAAGTTTTCATTAAAATTAAAATAAGACTTGGCCTAAAGATCTTAGTTACCAGGTCATAAAATCACTTAAAAAAAAGTTCTAATAATAAATGGCTTACGAAGCCAATGCCAACTGTGAGTATTCGTGAGCACACCGCAATGATTTCCCGCAAGAGGCGTCGCAATAGCACTGCCCTTGTAATCATCCGAGTCCATCACGATTCGATTAGGTTTAATTATTTCACCTGAGGTTCGGGTAGCGTGTAGGATTCCGAGGCAACGGGCGCGTTGGAAGTGGTGGGGCTGAGCGCCGGGTTCGAAGCGTACACGCCGCGGCGTACCATCGTGCGACCCGACGCGCCGCGCGGAGCGTACGAGACCGCGGTGTTGCCTGTAATAAAAAAAAATTAAAGGTGACCGAATATATATCTTGGCGCGCGATTATAAATATCACATGTACCTCACCTCAAAACGCGTCACAAAAGATTAAAGCAGGCAGTGTTAATCACAGACAGACATTATTAAAAAAAAAAAGTTTTGAAGCAATCATACGACATGGTAATAGTATTTGTTTAAATACATTTGCCTTTTATCCTTTTCAAATCAAACGACAAATCGAATCGAAGCATATAGGTTATATATAATGTGTAATATTCAGATTAGTTCATGATTGACTGACTAGGTGGCGAAGAAACATTTTTGCGACAAACAAGATTGTTTGCTCTTCACCTGAGTGTTTTTTTTTATATAATATTATTTACACGCATTTATACAAGTTTCTAGTTTCCTTAACCTACTTTGGGAACGATTGTGTGTTTTGTTTTTTATTTTATTAACATTTTAGAATATACTAGACTCACCAGGTATCCTACTCAGTTCTCTATGGGAACTATATTGCCTCAACTTGGAGGTCGGCAGGTTTGTCTTTCTCGGGACAGCGGCCGGTGGTATCATTGAACCGTACGATACTAAAAAAATATAAAATAAAAAACGTGCCGATGACGTGTGATCGTGCCATGATGATATTTTAAACTAGATTCGTAATCTGTACTTTAATCGATTTTTTTTTTTCGATTTATTATTTTTAATCAAATTAGTTATTGGTGTTAATGGCAACACTAAAGCGGCACAGATTAAAAATCTTACAAAAATGAAGCGCCTTTACTTAGTTGCTAAAAAAAACAACAAAATTCATATAACTGTTTTCTATGAGAACAAAAGTATTATGTCCTATGAATGTCTTTCGCGTTGAAGCTCAATCTTAGTAAGCATTTATTAAATTAAACTACAACATTGCGAAGCTAAGTATGTATTATAGTTTGATATTCAAAATTTTATTTCAATGAGGCTGAGACTAAAATCGACTTTATGTAAAGCGTTCTTAAGGACTATTTTCGATAATCACCTGTATTGGTAGGAGAAAACTTTCTGGGCGGCGATTTCTGAGGAGAAGCGTTGCCCTTCTTATCTGGACTGGTCTTGCCGGCGAGGATATCTCTCTTGGCCGATGTCTTCTTGATCATGGTCGCGCTGTTGACCACCGTCGTGTTGTGCATGTCGTATGTACGCTCCATAGGCGAGTCGGTAACCGGCACTTTGGTGTACGATTTGTCGTCCAGCATGTCGTATATTGGTGATATTGTACTGTGCAAGTTTAATAAGTCGTTTTGCGCTCCTCTTCTTAGCGGCATCAGGGGAGTTGATGCTATTTGTGTACCTGGAATATTATTATTTGGTTTGAGGTTACGGATAGCCCCTCAGCTTAATGCGTTATTTTTATTTATTTATTGCATAGATGGATGGACGAACTCACAGCCCACAGGTGCTAAATAGGTTACCGGACCCCACATATACAGTCTCAGTATAGTTACAACGGCTATCCCACCCTTCAAACCGAAACGCATTACTGCTTCACGACAGAAATAGGCAGGGTGGTGGTACCTACCCGTGTGGACTCATAAGAGGTCCTACCACCAGAATGCAGATTTAATGATAGCTTTAGATTATTAGTTCATGAAGCTCTTTTATATCGAGATTAACATCGAAACAGCCTCTTACGTTTCGTCGATAAATAAAAATGAGTACGCGTTAGCCTTCATTCGTGAAACGTTACAACACACTTTAGCGGAACGATTTCGCCGACTCAAGCTCCACAACACACATCACAAGTATCCGGTACACAATAGCAAAATAATCGACTTGTGGCAACATTACAATCAATACATTACAAGAGCTTATAATGCAGACACCGCTCGCAATCGGCGGATAGCACATTGTCCGTTAGCGCTATCGATACCTACCCGTGCGGACTCACAATACGTCCTACCACCAATAGAGCGGTTCCGGTTTAAAGAGAGGGGTAATCTAATGTATGAATAGCTTTTACTGGTGGTAGGATCTCCTGTGAGTCCGCACGGGTAGGTACCCCCGCCCTGCTTATTTCAGCCGTGAAGCAGTAATGCGTTTCGGTTTGAAGGGTGGGGCAGCCGTTGTAAGTATACTCAGACCTTGGAACTTATATCTCAAGGTGGGTGGCGCATTTACGTTGTAGATGTCTATGGGCTCCAGTTACCACTTGACACCAGGTGGGCTGTAAGCTCGTCCTCCCATCTAAGCAATAAAAAAAATAAAAAATAGCTCACGTGGATCATGCAGTGGCACGTCGTGTGGCGCGCAGTCCGGCGGACTCGACGAGCTAAAGGTCCCTGTGTCGGTGCTCTCCGTCGAACCAACCATCGCTCTCTCTTGTAAACCCCACTCCTGAAATTAGACAACGACAATCAGAAAATCTATTTCTATACTAATATATAAATCTACAGTGGGTTTTACGAATGTTCCATTAGAACTACTGAACCATGCATCCGATTGACTTGAAACTTGGTATCCATGTAGAAAATACATGTACTTAATGGATAGGCTAATATTTATATGAGTGTTGGACTCCCTACACCAGTTGCGGGGGCGTTAACAATAAGAATTTTTGTGGAGCTGAAAAATAATAATATTAATTTTAAATGCCCAGCAAAGCGGACGGGCACTTAGATTTACCATTGCTGCCATCTAGTGGCTAGATTTTGAATTATTAGTTAAGACAATTATTTAGAAAAGACAACACAAATCACACATACCCCTACCTCTTGCTGCAGCGTCCTCTCACTGGAATCGATGAGGTTCATCGTGGCCGAATTTATATCGATCATTTTTTGGTTCTCGTCAGCCTTTACGTACACAACGGTAGTGTCCATCGCGTTCGCTTTAGGCGACGCTTTCTTGAAGGTGGCGTTACGTTTTGGCGTTTCCCTGGCAAGCTCCTCCTGACCGCAGCCGTTGTTCAAAGCTCTCCGCCTCGACAGAAGCTCGGAAGCGTTCTCCATACTCTGGCGGGGAACCGTGATCGTTTGGTTCGGCAGCTGAATCGTTTTGATAGCCGGGTCGGCTTGCCGTTCTGGTGGGGCGCGGTCCGATTCTGTGGGCAACGCCTTCCTGGCGAGAGACAGCTTCTGCCGCGCCTGTATGATCTCGTTTAGTTCCTGCTTCCCTAACGTAACATTCAAACTATTTCTGCCGACGTCATCAGGCTTCTGGAGGCCCATGTCTTTGTAGAAAGCGTCGTCTCTCTCAAAGTTCTCCTTTTCCGCGTCATTGTCTCTCCGGAACTTGTTATTGGAGTAGTGCAGCGTGATCGTCTCGGCCATTTCCGGGCCTGGCTTTGCGGACTTCGGGGAGTCTTTCTTGTCGGTGTTCTCGTTCAAAACTTTAGAGCCGTCGATCTGACACGCCTCCTCGCGGGCTTTCGTGTAGCTCTCCGAATTCCTCAAGCCGGATTCGCGTTTCGTGAAACTGTTGTACAACTGACATCGCGGTCTGCTCGTTAATAATCTTTCGGACTGTTCTAAATGGGTGAAGGTCGCCGAACTGAAGATGTTTGAATCGGTGTTGTCTCTAGGCTTCGAAGTGTTGGAAACTATGTACGATGAGTTAACAGAGCTGACGAGGCTGGGTGGCAGAGAATCCATTAAGCTGTCGTTGTCCGGATAGGTGGTCTGTGAGAGGAAGCTGGTGCTCATATCTTTCTCGTCGAGTATGCTGAGCGTCATGCTCGTCATCATTGGGTCGATGCTGTCGCGGCCCGACGTGGGGAGCCCTGCAAGTATTAACAGGCGTTAAAATAATGTTACGCCGGTAAGAGTAACGCCATCTATCGCCGAATAGTCGAACGAATATAGAAGGATCTAGTAGCACCTAACACGCTCGAGAAGTACAACGCCATCTACTGTCAGATAGCGGAAACACAATACTAGAGATGTGTGGAATATTCTCGATAATTCTAGGGATGAGGTGTCGACTATAAAAGCGTTGCAGAGATGGCACACAGTCAGATCATCTGAAGCGAATTGAGAATTTTAAACTGTTTGTGAAGTGTTACAGGTTTACAGGTTTTTAGTTGTACTTTGGTGGAATTTTATTTATCCCGAACTCCAGCGCCTAACACGCGATTCTTCTCCCCCGAACAATCTGTAGTGTCTGAATTCTTACCTGAATCTCTGTATGACGGGATTGATTTCCTGCTTTCCATAGACTCAGGGTTGAAGGTTCCAGAACTCTCCATGACTAGCGACGACACGAGACTCGGAGGTGACATCCGCATCAGGGAGTCACCACTCTGGTACATATTCAGGCTGCCGCGTTCGTTAATTATATTTGACAGTCCCCTGAGTGCGTAAAGGTTTTCATTATACATTACATGTGAGTTCCATATTACAAAATAATTTTCGAACTTGATTGCTTATACTAAGCTTAGGTGTTATTTTGACAGATCACAGAAACTCATGTGACTTAAATTCAAATTTATACTGTCTTTGTCGGTGTAATTTCTCGTACCTAAGACCACTCCAGGGCGCAACAGACAATAAAAATTTTACAATAACTACACTGCTTTTGACTAGCTCTCGTTAGGGCCTAATGATTGGTCCTTCGAACCGGATTTCATCCAGCGATCTATGAATAATAATGACTTATGCCAGTTCGAAATTTAGATAAAATAGACGTGCACATTACACCAATGCCACCGTAACCCCTGCGACGATCTGAGAAAACTTATTATAAAATCAACTAGAGAATAAAGACATACTTATTGAACGTGTTATGAAGATTATGCGCCGGCTGAGAGAAGTCTATGTTGATAGGCTTTGATGGAACTGACTCGATGGAAGGCCGACCCGACCTCTCCGGACCTAAAGTGATATCAGCGTCTTCCAACTGAAAAAAATGTATCAGAATATTTACGGGTTCATACTTTAATTACAAATAGTTTATAGTACATGATCTCTTTTTCAAAACACAGATGGCTTGTTTTTTAGTATGTTGTAGTTTATATAATTTATTTTATTTGATATGTATTTCTGATCTATGTATCTTTGTATGAATTTGTATGTATGTATATATGTATTTGTTTTGGCAATGTAATTTATAACCCGGTGTTCATTTAACTCATGTCTACTGTAATTCTTTAAATTATCGCCATGTATTACCTTCATCAACGAGGGTTAACTGGAAGAGAATGCCTGCATGGCGTTAAGTTCGCCTTTGTACACTATTTTGGGCAATAAAGAATTTTCATTCATTCATTCATTTATAGTTTTGATGTTCAGAATTATTAACCCCAAGGCCAAAAGGACTTCGCGGATCTCTTAGCTCCTTAATTGTATTGTAATAGTGGCCTATACTTACCATACAATAAGTAGTTGCCAACCATGTAAGAAACATAAGCAATGAAATGTGTATAAAAAAATATATCTATAAAAAAGAACTATTATACTTACAGTACAGAACTTACAGTATTATATTTAGAATGTTTACCTACCTACCACTTTACCGTAACAATTCACATACATAAATACCTCTAAATCATGTTTAAAAAAGCACGATAAGTGCGAGCGAAATATACGTAATGTTTACATTTATTATTCCTTAAATAAAACAAGCTAAATATTACGATCAATTCGCGTCGGTTATGTAAGCGCGAGTCGGAAGGAGATATTTTTGCACCTATGACATTATACGTCACCGATTGACGTCATAACGGTGCACTTGTGAGTGTTGTGATTCAATGTACTTTTATTTTAAGAATGTGCTAAATAAACAAATCAGGGAGTGAAACGATATAATGAACGTATTTTCTTAGTATTTTATAGGTTTATATTGGCACAATTCAGATTATTTACTGCGGGCAAGGCGTTTTTTGAACCGGAAGCGGCAGGTACCGCCGCCCTGCCTATTTTTGCCACAAAACACTAAAGCTGCTTTCAGACTACGCTATAATATAATAACATATAGTATATAGCTCAAAGCACAACAATATCGCGCGCACAACGTGTCCAATATAATACATTATTATGGACACGTTCACACTGTACTGTACTATATACTCGTATTATTGGATAAGTATACGCTGCTATACTACATGACACTATATTATAGCGTAGTCTGAAAACCGCTTAATGCGGTCCGGTTTGAAGGGTTTCGTACAGCCATACTATAGAGCTAAAGTGGCGGCAGTTTGGTCGATGGGCTCCGGAAATCGTTAAGCACCAATTGGCCCGTGAACCCGTTTACATGTTAGCAATAAAGAAATAATAAATTGAAACTATGGTATGCATAGACATTAGAACGTGAATGTCGCTACCCACCTTGAGAGATGAGATACAAGTCTCTGTAGTAACATATAACCCATCAAACTGGAGCACACAACATTACAACGGCAGAAATAGTAACGACCAGTATTATAGGAAGACCAAAAGAAGGAAAGACCTACTTAGAAAGTACCTATTCGTTCTGCCTCATAAAATTTGCTCTATCACTAGTGATTACGCAAAGCATATTTTCATTACACGTCGTTATACCTACCTACCTTCATTTTAGAAGTGATTCGTGAACACATGTCAGTCAGGTACGATCTTTTTTTACAATGAAATTATATCTGTTTACGCGATTTGAGAAACGGGAGATGTATCAATAGATACTTTTTAGACCACTTTTATTTGTTATTTTCCCTACCTATGCTGATACCCTTGAGACGCTATATCAGCGTTACCACCGCATTTAGGTGAGCTCTCGGGACGCAAACCAGGAGGTATTGCTAAGACTGACCCTGGCAAGAGCAATACTTTGCAGAATCTACCACCGGATCGGAAACGCGACCCACTGGGAAGATCCGGCGAGAAACTCAGTGGGCTGTGTCTCTGGGTTAATTTACTCACCACGATAATTTCCTTTTATAACTAAGGCATTTTTAGCATCGCAGAAAATAAGCATTACGTATGGCTCCATGTATAAGTTCAGCACACACGTCCTACAATCAGATATTTAACAGACGAATATAAGTTAAATGCGAAACGTGTCTTATTATCAAAACATCGAAAGTTCAATGAGCTCCTATAATTTGTAATGTCTGATTAAAATCTAAGTTTAGCGTGCTGTTTACGTAATGCCTGTGCCCGATATTGTTGCCGGTAAATTTAATTAAAACAACGTATTCTCTTTGTGTACTGACTGCTCTTAGTAAAATATATGCATTTAGATTTAGTAAACATGTACCGATGATGATAAATTTTAAAGGAAATAGTTGACGTTTGCATTATTTTATTCAAAAAGTGGATGTCTTAAACGGGAAATGTTGCGCAATTTAGAAAGATTATTAATCTTAAAATTAATTTAAAAAATAAAAAGGGCACTTCACACTTATATATTTAGTGTAGACATTTTGGTAAAAATATTAATTCGAGTCGCATTGATCATGGTTCGCATTGATTCTGCCGTGAAGCAGTAATGAATTTCAGTTTGAAGGGTGAGGCAGCCGTTGTGACTATACTGAGACCTTAGAACTTGTATCTCAAGATGGGTGGCGCATTTACGTTGTAGATGTCCATGGGCTCCGGTAACCACTTAACACCAGGTGGGCTATAAGCTCGTCCACCCATCTAAGTAATAAAAATAAAAAAAAACATGGAGGGACCATCACGCCGGTTGTTACTTTTACATATTATATAATTATATTATATAATTATATATTATATAATTATATTATATTATATAATTATTTATAACAAAAACCCAAATTTGTCATACCAGAATATGTTTCAGAGAATTAATTTGGTCTTTACTGATATATTTATTCCTAAAACTGTAACATTAAAAAACAAAACAGTGTTCAGCGAGTGGGCCACCACCGGAGTGTACAAGAGTAGAAAAAAGTTATATGATCTGTACTCTGAAAAAGCTTATAATAATGATGAAACATTTCNCTGTACGCAAGCGTACTTTTGGGAGCAAGCGGAACGAAGGCGCGGTGCGGGACGCAAGGTTCGACTGATCTACCAATAACGCGCTCGATACGATTTCCCCTGCCGTCGCGCCTCACCCTCACCACCAAAGTGATCTAAAATTCGGTTCTGCGCAGTCAAGGTCATTTGCTCACGATGTTTGCCGGTTACTATACCTACCTTGAGAGATGAGATACAAGTCTCTGTCACAACATTACAACGGCAGAAATAGGAACGACCAGTATGATAGGAAGACCAAAAGAAGGAAAGACCTACTTAGAAAGTACCTATTCGTTCTGCCTCATAAAATTTGCTCTACCACTAGTGATTACGCAAAACATATTTTCATTACACGTCGTTATATTTACCTACCTTCATTTGAGAAGTGATTCGTGAGCACATGTCAGTCAGGTACGATCTTTTTTTACAATGAAATTATACCTTTTTACGCGATTTGAGAAACGGGAGATGTATCAATAGATACTTTTTAGACCACTTTTATTTGTTATTTTCCCTACCTATGCTGATACCCTTGAGAAGCTATATCAGCGTTAGCACAGCATTTAGGTGAGCTCTCGGGACGCAAACCAGGAGGTATTGCTAACACTGACCCTGGCAAGAGCAGTGCTTCGCAGAATCTACCACCGGATCGGAAACGCGACCCATTGGGAAGATCCGGCGAGAAACTCAGTGGGCTGTGTCTGTGGGTTAATTTACTCACCACGATGCTTTCATTTTATAACGAAGGCATTTTTAGCATCGCAGCAAATAAGCATTACGTATGGCTCCATGTATAAGTTCAGCACACACGTCCTACAATCAGATATTTAACAGACGAATATAAGTTAAATGCGAAACGTGTCTTGTTATCAAAACATCGAAAGTTCAACGAGCTCCGATAATTTGTAATGTCTGATTAAAATCTAACTTTAGCGTGTTGTTTACGTAATGGCTATGCCCGATATTGTTGCCAGTAAATTTAATTAAAACAACGTATTCTCTTTGTGTACTGACTGCTCTTAGTAAAATATATGCATTTAGATTTAGTAAACATGTACCGATGATGATAAATTTTAAAGGAAATAGTTGACGTTTGCTTTTATATTTATTTTGTTCAAAAAGTGGATGTCTTAAACGGGAAATTTTGCGCAATTTAGAAAGATTGTTAATCTTAAAATTAATTTAAAAAATCAAAAGGGCACTTCACACTTATAGATTTAGTGTAGACATTTTGGTAAAAATATTAATTCGAGTCGCATTGATCATGGTTCGCATTGATTCTGCCGTGAAGCAGTAATTTCGGTTTGAAGGGTGAAGCAGCCGTTGTGACTATACTGAGACCTTAGAACTTGTATCTCAAGATGGGTGGCGCATTTACGTTGTAAATGTCCATGGGCTCCAGTAACCACTTAACACCAGGTGGGCTATAAGCTCGTCCACCCATCTAAGTAATAAAAATAAAAATAAAAAACATGGAGGGACCATCACGCCGGTTGTTACTTTTACATATACAAATTCTAGTTTCCTCTTAACGATTCAGTATTTTGTATGCGTAAATGAGCTTACTTTACAATTATTTTTGTTATCCGAAAAATCACACTGTTGATTACTATTGATACTCAATCGCAGTTTGCTGTCATTATCGCTAATATTATGAAAACAGATTCCTTTAAATTCAACTGATAGCAAGCACTACAGATGCCAGATGACGGAAATAGTCTCTGATGCGCCAAGAACAACTGTACAAAATTGGATCACAATTAGGAGCGTATAGACGACACACGTGTATACAAACATTGCTTGCTTGCTTCGCCATGACAATCGAGAAATTATGAGAAACTATGCAATTGATTGTTGCCCGCACGTCACGTTTCATACAAAGTAACGGAGTAGATTTCATTGCGATCCGATGAATAGTATACAAGCGCACAATGTTTATGTAATAATTATACAGTTGTCTCGACCGGCCCACTGAGTTTCTCGTCGGATTTTCTTAAAGGGTCTCGATTGCGATCCAGTTGTAGATTATGAAACACTGCTCTAGCTAGGGCTAGTGTTAGCAAACTCTCTTAGGTTGAGCCCGTGAACTCACCTACCCTTCTGAGCGTAGCCGAAATAGCCCTTTAGGCTACCAGTGAATAGGAAGAAAAAAATATCTCAATGCTTTGATGTTTGCGTTGGCTAATATATATATATATATATATCCTTTTTTTTATTGCTAGAGAGGTGGACGAGTTCACAGCCCACCTGGTGTTAAGTGGTTACTGGAGCCCATAGACATCTACAATGTAAATGCGCCACCCACCTTGAGATATAAGTTCTAAGGTCTCAGTATAGTTACAATGGCTGCCCCAGCCTTCAAGCCGAAACGCATTACTGCTTCACGGCAAAAATAGGCAGGGTACCTACCCGCGCGGACTCACAAGAGGTCCTACCACCAGTAAACAAACGGACTGGGTCAATCGAATTTTGGCCCATTTAATTTCAAAACCATTCATTCGAATCACGAGAGCCTCAGACGTACGACGCGACAGTTTCAACAATATTTTTATTCCATCTAAAATTACAGCTGAATTGATTCGAAACAAATGGATATTTTGAAAACAGCTATACGGAATCTTGTTTGCGCAACTGTACAAGTACACTTAACAATAATAGTGTTGTAGAAGAATCGTGAGTCAGGTGTGTTTAGAACAACATAATATTTTCATAGTCGCTGTAATCTTTGCGCTGTACGTGAAGTTTTATCGTTTTACACGTCCAACTACAAAGTAAGAAATGTGAGGAACATAAAATTTAATTAGACTGTGAGATCGTCGAATAATTGTAGCTCTATCCTAGTTTTGTTACAGGAATCTCTCAGTTATCATATGAAATATATACGGTTGGAGAGTTTTTTGAAGTTATACTTCTTTAGGCGCATTATGAAAAATTGATGAGAGTGAAATTTTACGATGCGCGCGCGCACCGTGACACAAAATTAACAGAATGAAGTTACCCATTAAATCGCTCATTACAATACGACAGACGTATCTTGGCGAGTCTGAATATAGCCGCAGGTGAACTTTCGCGCATGTACACTCGTAAAAAAAAGTGTTATTAGCATTCATTTTTTAGTAATATAAATGACAAAATTATTATTTCATATAATTTATACTATATATTATTAAATTATTAACGTTAAATATTTATTATTTATTATTTGATATTTAAAAAAAAGAAATAAATTTAATAAAAATAAAGTATAACTTCTTACGCGCGTACACGCACCATTTTTTTATATTGCTTATATGGGTGGACGAGCTCATAGCCTATCTGGTGTTAAGTGGTTACTGGAGCCCATTGACATCTACGACGTAAATGCCCCATCCACCTGAGATATAAGTTCTAAGGTCTCAAGTATAGTTACAACGGCTGCCCTGCCCTTCAAACCGAAACGCATTACTGCCTCACGGCAGAAATAGGCGGGGTGGTGGTACCTACCCGCGCACTCATAAGAGGTCCTACAACCAGTAATTACGCAAATTATAATTTTGCGGCTTTGATTTTTATTACACGATGTTATTCCTTCACCGTAGAAGTCAATCGTGAACATTTATCGAATACGTATTTCATTAGAAAAATTGGGAACACACCTGCGATTCGAACATCGGTGCATTGCTCAAACACGAATGCATCGGACGTCTTGTCCTTTAAGCCACGACGAATTCAATAATAATAGAATACAATAGTATTATCGTGCAACAACTATTTACCTGAGGATCGTCATCCTGCACCAAACTCCTTCGCTTCATAGCGTATTCCTTGATCACACTGCTATTTTCAGTGTTAGTATCCACGTTGAATGTCTTCAGCCTTATCATTGGACTGATCGGTCCGAGGGGCATACTGTACTTGTTGTAAGTCAAATACTTGTTGACATTCAACGAAGGACTAGGCGAGAGAGAAGGTGGATTGGAAACCTCCATTATATTTTGGATGCTCGGCCTTTGAGGGCGTTTCTTCGGTTTGACGTAGGTTCGAGAATCGAACTTGTGCTTGTCTGGCATCGCGAGGATTTCATCTAGAACAAAAATTGGTACATAAAACTTTTGTTTTTGTGAAAAAATCATCTTCCCGTATTCCTCTTTGAGAATGACGTCGAAATCTCAACTGCGAATATGTTACCCTTAAAATCGAAACGCAAACTATTATAGCACACCAGTTAACAGTCAAACATCATAATGTCAACAACATAACATCCTTAAGCAGAGATAAAATTACAACCTGCACGAAATTAAATGGTTCATAAGTTCATAGAGGTCTCGTCAATTAAGAGCACTTTAAAATATATCACCATTTCGTTTACAATAGCATCTCCTTTGACCAATATTTTATTATTCTTGATGGACTAGATGACGAAACTCATATTGAAGTACCTACATTCATAATTCACTCACGTTATCTGTATGTTGCTGATTAGATATCGATCAATTACAAAAAATATATATCAACTTCTACATCAAATCGATTTTATCAAAAAGTGTAGTTTGGATTTATTAAGGACGATAACGCGAAATATTATATTCGATTATACGGATTCAGACGGAAGATTACAGAATAAGGGGTCATCGAACCAATTTAGAATCGCATCTCGAAATTTTAGTGTGTATTTTACTTAAGAGGAATGCCGACAAACGTTTTACTTCATTTACTCAATAGCGTTAAAGTCTATTTTCGAACAAAACAACACTCGGAATCAGCTCGCGACAAAACAACAGCATCGAAACTAAATACCAGAGCAAAAATAAGTTAATTATTTCCTCGTTTCCACAAAAAAAAAAACAAGGCGTAAAACATCGAAAACGATGTTAAAGTGACACTTCTCTTGCGGTATGTAGTATTGCGGTTTTATTCATTTATCATCCTTAAATCAAATTTCTCTTTTAATAGGGAATGCTTTGTATAAGAGATACGACGTCTTCACCATTTATATTATACTAGCTGACCCGGCAGACTTCGTAGTGCCTCGATCGATAAATAAAAGACCTAAACTTTTGCATAAATAAACTTGAAACAAACAAAAGGAATCCACCGGACGGGGGGGGGACCATCCAAGGATAGGCAGCGGCTTGGCTCTGCCCCTGGCATTGCTGAAGTCCATGGGCGACGGTAACCACTCACCATCAGGTGGGCCGTATGCTCGCCTGCCTACAAGGGCAATAAAAAAAAAAAAAAAAAAAAAACCATCAAAGGAAAAACCACCTGTGACCACCATCAAAGGAAAAACAAAATTGTTATTTTTATTTAATTCCGAGCATTTTCATATTTATCTACCTTTTAAACCTTCTCTGGACTTTCACAAATAATTCAAGACCAAAATTAGGCAAATCGGTTCAGCCGTTCTCGAGTTTTAGCGAGACTAACGAACAGCAATTTATTTTTATATATATAGATATATTTTAATATAGAAACATATTCTCTTTATTTTTAAATCCTTCATTAAAAATAAAATATAGGATAGTTAATATGTTACTGCCATCTACAGGAGCAATGAGAAACTAACAACAAACCACCTAGTGACCGACACCCGTAAACATGTGTATAGGAGAAATGACCTAGCACGCTTTCTCCCTCTCTCCAAGGTCGAGTGGTTCCCGAGACGCTCGTAAGAAGTCCTAAATTGTATATTTTCTCTCTAGCCGTAACAAATCTGTCGCGAGTTAAGTTTTACTCTCATCGCGCCTAAAGTTTCACTTCAAAATGTAAAACAAACAAATTTTGTATTCATTTACGTATGTTCTTCTTCTCAGTCGTACACTCTTGTCAGAGTGGTCGTGGTTGCGCTGACGCTGTATGTGCAGTAGGACCTGTTAGGTCGCCGAAGCTCCCTACCAACGCCTTCCAGGCAATGCGCTTCCAGGTCTGGCGGTTCGAAGCGTTTCGAGGACATTCGACCATAGTGGACTCAGTTGCCTTCTTTATTAGGTCAGTCCAGCGGGTCGGTGAGCGGCCGCGTGATCTTCTGCCTTCCACCCGGCCCTGGACTACCAGTCTCTCCATCGAGTGCTCTTTTCTAGAGATGTGATCAAAGAATTTTAAAACCCTCAGTTGCACAGTTTACGTATGTATACCTTCAAAATTTCAGGAAAGCACAGAAACTGGGTTGTGAACTTATGAGAACTAACGATGAGATTAGTAAAACTTTACAATTTATAATTTCCTGATAAGGTCAAGAACGGCCGGCGACAAGCCAAGGGATCCGAATTAATCTTGCCGACGCCAAGCGTATATTTTTTTACGAGACATGCGGATAGCAATATGCTAACATTCTTTGTTTCCTTGTCGAACTCGTTGATCATGACGAAGAGCTCGACGAGCTAATTAACCCATAGACACAGCCCAGTGACTTTCTTGCCGGATCTTCTCAGTGGGTCGCGATTCCGATCCGGTGATAGATTCTGCGAAGCACTACTCTTGCTAGAGCTAGTGTTAGCATATTCTCCCAGGTTGAACCCGTGAGCTCACCTATCTATCCAGGCGTAGCTGGAATAGCCTCTTAGGCTACCAGCGAATAGGGGGGGGGGGGAAGCATTTGTTCCTAGTTTTATTGGTGAAACTATTTACAAGACATGTTTCGGCGATGGCGGCTTTGCGTTGCCCCGTCCCGGTCGTATAAGAATTTACATTAAGCACGCATTGAGGCCAGGAAGTTGATATTGAAGACAATAATGACAGCCCTGTGACAAGTGTTACGACACATTAACGTGGGTTGAATGCGAGTTAACGGAACTCCTTATGATGACGTAGGCGAAACGTACCAAGGCTCCTGCGGACAGGATGTACTAGCCTTTTGGACCGTTTGTTTGTAAATTTGAAGCGGTCTAATAAAAGAAAAGTGATTCCAGTTTTCATATCCCGTAGGGGTGTTCAAATTTTTTCAAAGGACGTACGACGATTCAAACGTACTTAGGACGTGTTCACGAACAACCTTCACGATAAAGGAATAACGAAGTGTATTTTTTTTTATGTCCTGTTGTTTACAACCTTTAGGTCAACTCTTATTTTTCATAGCACATTCATAGACGTCATATTACACCTATGATCACATGCCATTAAATTGTTTTAATTGTATTCTTTATGTATTTGTAGATGTGCTTGTAAGCGAAGTGTTTATTTAGTAGTTTATTTAGCCTATATCGTAGAGAGAAGATGCTTGTGACTAGGAGATGTATGGAAATGGTAGTGCAAGTAGAGGGGGAAGAGGTCGACCGAAGAAGACATGGATGGAGTGTGTGAATGACGATATGAGAGAGAGAGGAGTGAGTGTTGAGAAGATGGCTGATAGAAGAGAATGGAAGAGAAAAATTAGCTGTGCCGACCCACCTAGTGGAATAAGGTGGAGAAAAAAAGAAGATTTAGCCTATATTTATATTTTTCCCCAAACATTAGGTAAGGTAAGGGTACGGTTAAGTACCACCATCCTGCTTATTTTCGCCGTGAAGCAGTCACGTTTTCATGTTTTAAGTATACAGATAACAGAATACAAATGAAGCGAGGAATTCTCATCTCAACAAAATGAAATTAGCCAGTTTTTTGTTTACAAGTATCTTTTTTTATTGTTAAGATGGCTGGACGAGCTGACGGCTCATCTGGTGTTAAGTGGTCACCGCAGCCCATAGACATTAACCACGTCAATGCCGCCCAACTTGACATATGAGTTCTAAGTCTCCGTTTTTACAGTAAAACGGCTGCCCCACCCTCCTAACCGAAACGGATTATTGCTTCACGGCAACAATTGACAGTGTGGTGGTAGCCATCCATGCGAGCTCATATCTGGTGGTAGGACTTCTTGTGTATCCGCGCGGGTATGTACCACCACCCTGCATATTTCTGCCGTGAAGCAGTAACGCGTTTCAGTTTGATGGGTGGGGCAGCCGTTGTAACTATACTTGAGACCTTAGAACTTATATCTCAAGGTAGGTGGCGCATTTACGTTGTAGATGTCTATGGGCTCCAGTAACCACTTAACACCGGGTTGGCTGTGAGCTCGTCCACCCATCTAAGCAATAAAAATAAAAGTAAATAAGTCAAATCAATTTCGTATCCCAGTGTTCGTCTATACCAATAACAAAACAATAAATAAACGTCAATAATCATTGTTAAAATGTCAACTATTGGAACGTGAGAAATCGACTTAAACATGATGAAAAAACACATTTCAAGAAGATACTTTCTAAAACATTATATAACTAAAATAAATTGTATCGTATTCAAGTCAGCGTTCGCGTCAAAGATGAAATAATAACACACGTCGATAAATTAATAGCGTAACGCCACAACGGTCGAACGTTTATATATATATAGAATGGAAAGTGAAATTTTTATTATACAAGTTTCGCATGCAAATATAATTGAATTGTGGATGTCAGTTTGCGAGAGCATTACTGTAACATATTCTTGGACACGTTTCGAGCACGCGATATTCGATTATGACTGTTCAATATTTGAAGTCCATAAATGAGTCGTCTATTATCAAAGGTGGCAATCTGTGCATTTGGACAAAAAAAAATTATTGATATTTCAATACAGATTGATTTGAATATAATCGTCTCCTTCAAAGAATACGGTTCAAAACCTGCATTAAATAAATGTTAATACTTAACCTGTTATTTATCTAAGATGTCGTTCAGAAGAGTTTTGTGACTGCTAGTGGAATACAAAGTCAATAATTCGTTTTTCTGATTTACCAATAATTATCCAAAAGTCACATTGCCGGCTTTGATAATAGTCGACTCAAATAAACGTAATAACTATTGTCCGCATAAATGTTGAAATTTGACTAAAATTACATATTATCGAGATTCGGTTTGAAGGGTGGGGCAGCCGTTGTAACTATACTTGAGACCTTAGAACTTATATCTCAAGGTGGGTGGCGCATTTACGTTGTAGATGTTTATGGGCTCCAGTAACTACTTAACACCAGGTGGGCTGTGAGCTCGTCCACCCATCTAAGCAATAAAAAAAAACGTCGAGATTGATTTTCTCTTTCGTATATATATTTTCTTGCAAAAGTGAGAAAAA